CGGGCTGGAAAGATGGCTCAGAGGTTAAGAGCACCAACTGCTCTTCCAGAGGTCCTGAGTTCAATTCCCAGCACCCACATGGTGCCTCACAACCATCTGTAATGAGATCTGGCACCCTCTTCTGTATACATAATAAATAAAATAAATCTCAAAAGGAGAAGAAGAAGAAGAAGAAGAAGAAGAAGAAGAAGAAGAAGAAGAAGAAGAAGAAGAAGAAGAAGAAGTTGTCGTTCTTGTCCTCAGTCGGTGAAGATGTAGCTCTGAGGTGTGGCTGGCGATCATGAGATGTAACCTGATGGAAGGGGAGAAGCAGGGCTTCCTAATGCATCTATATCACCTGAGCCTTAATCTCCTTATTTGGCTAATGAACAAAGCCATCTCCCAGCCAGGTGCAGCGGGGCCTGCTCATCTGTGTTTGTTTTCTGTGGTTTCAGGACCGGTGATGAACAAGTCGAAAATTACTGAATGGGAGTGGGGCGTGGTGATGCGTACCTGTAACCCAGGTACTCAGGAGGCTGGGACAGGAAGATCCTGAGTTTGAGGCCAGCCTGGGCTGCATAGAGAGATTGTCACAACTAAAAGAAAAATGTGCGGGGAAGAAGGCTTAGTGCACGTAGTGCTTCTCTGAGGTAAAAAACGCTTCCTGTGCAGGTGTGAGAACCTGAGTTTGACCCTAGAATGACACAGACGTCTGGGTAGAGTGTTTGTAATCACCACACTCCCACAGAGAGATGGAGGCAGAGGCAGAGGATCCCCCGAAGCCCGAGGGCCAGCTGGTCTGGCAGACAGCAGAGGAAGAAACACTGTTCCAAACAAAGTGAAAGGTGGTGATGGGTATAAGAGGCTCTGACTCCCACACGTGGCCGAAGTGTACCACATGCCTGGATTCACACACGAATGCGTGTGTGCGCACGCAATAAATAAGCCACAGTTTTAAACGACTTTTAAAAGAGGAGGGTTCAGTGAGTAAAATGTTTGCTGCACCAGCATGAGAATCCACGTAAGCAGCCCTGTGCAGTGGAACAGGGACCGGTGGATTCTGGGAACTCAGTGGCCAGCTAGTTCCACTTTCACTGAGAGACGGTGTCTCAAAATATAAGGTAGAGATTGAGGAGGGCAACCCCCACCCCTACCCTGCCCTCCACTGGGTAGGTTAGGGGTGGAGAACTCCACAAATAAGCAACTCATAATTTTTAGGTTAACTAGTATATGATTATACTTTTCTAGTTCATCTATTTCATTCTAGTTATTGTTAATTTTTTGATGCATACATTTCATAAATTAAGCCACAGATATGCATATAAAGAAAAAAATAGTGTGCGTACAGTTTGGTACTCAGTGGCCTCAGGCATTTGTACCGCATCTTGGAAAGTGTTCCTCAAGAACAAGTTCACTGTAATGAGGTGTACTCCCCACACCCAAGGATGCAAAACCCAAAATGAAGACTGTGAATGATAGCCCTGTCAGGTCCTCAGTAAACAAAGTCTGTTGATAGGAGGCCGTGGAGATGGGGACCCTAAAGGCCCAAGGCCACTGACTTTTCGTTCCCACAGAATGGCTCCTTCCCATCCCCAGAGAGATGTCAAGAGGTCAGAAGACAGTCTTAGAGCCATGTAACTGTAGTGTCAGGCCTGAAGGCTTCCTCACAGGAAAGGTCAGGACACGGTGCCCTGCAGGCCCAGCTGCCTCACAAGATTGCAGTCAGAAGACTGTCCAGTGCTTCTTATCCACTCACGCCACATTACCGGCTGAATGGTCGTGAGCTCCAGGCCTAAGGCTTCCTGGATTCCCACAGCTGTAGATTGGGAGGTTGCTAGGGATGGTAGGAAAGCTGGTGGGAGACAAGATCCCGATGAAGGAATCTTGATGGTGACAGCTCCGTATCACAGTCTCAACAAGGTTCACCACTGGCCTCCGGGGGAGTTTGCTGAGTTGAGCCTTGAGCCAAGTCTGAATGGAAAGCGACATCTTGGACTTCATTTAAGGATATTTTCCCCTTAAGTTTTTTCTATCTGTCTCTCCTTTCCATGTTAAACATACCCTCTACTATTGCGATTTACCTCCATGGATTTTGTTGTTGATTTTTTGAGATGGTGTCTTTTTGGGGAGGTGTCTCTACAAACACCATGGTTAGCAGAGTGTCAATCTGAGAGAGGCTGGAAGTCTGGTTCAACACGACTCAGTAGTCAGTGTTGGTTCAAACTTCAAGGGTCTAAAACCAGGTAGTTTATTTTAGGCATATTTAAACACAGCACAATTTGGACAAAAGTTTCCTGGTGATCATTAACTCAATCCTATGTGCACAATAAAGCCTAAGACATGATTATATCACAGCTCTTACAAAATACAAGTGACATCTTCCATAAAGCTAGGTGAATCTTCCATAAAGATTAAGTAAAGAAGCAGGCTCAAGGTAAACTATGCTCACGCTAAGTTCCAGAGAGGAGAGCGCTGCAGATTGGCTGAATTGGTTCAAGATGACAGTCTGGGGGAGCCTGGCCATACAGGATAGCACTGAGGTCACCAGGCTATTAACCACCTCAGCTCCCAGCCTTATGGGTGGAAAACAGATGCTCCATCTCTCCCCTTTGAAGAGACAACCTGTGTGGTAACACTCTTGGTTTCTCTGGTGCTCATGGGTGAGGGCAAGGACCTCTTGCTTTCTACAGGGTCTTGCCCAGGCTGATGTCCAAAGTGTGATCCTCCTATCTCAGCCTCTGAGGCAGCCAGGACTCTGGGTGTACATCAGTCTGTGCCTGACTCTTTTGGCGTGCTTACGCCCCTCCTGTCCCCCTCCTGCCCCCCCTCCCCTGTTTCAGGCCTGTTTACTTTTAGAGCAGTAACAGAGCAAGGAAATGACAGCCTCAGTGGCATGGAGCTAGGAAGGGCAGAATAATACAGTATGTGTCCTGCCTCAAATACACTATTACATTAGCAACCAGAAAAAACACACTTCCTCATAAATGACCCTGCCACTTAGGAAGTCACACCCTCTGGGTGCATGAGTGGACTTACAATCTTGGCCTCTTGCTTTGTTAAAGCAATCTCCCACTCACTCAGATGGCGTGTGCGTGTGTGTGTGTGTGTGTGTGTGTGTGTGTGTGTGTGTGTGTGTAGGCCAGAGAACAACTTTTGAGCGTCATTGTTCAGGCACTGTGCACCTTTTTAAAAAGATCGATTTTTATGTATGAGTGTTTTGTCTGTCTGTCTGTGTACCAAATGCATGCCTAGTGCCCATGGAAGCCAAGAGAGTGTGTTGGATCCCCTGGAACTGGAGTTACAGGCACTTGTGAGCAACCTGGGTCCTCTGCAGGAGCAGCAAGTGCTCTTAACTGCTGAGCCACCTTTCTTGTCCATCTTGTTTGAAAGATAGGCTCTTACTAGCCTAAAACCCGCCAGGTAGGCTAGGCTGGTTCCAGAGAGCCCTGGGGAATTGCCTGCTTCTGTCTTGCTGGTGCTGGGATTACAAGTGCAGGCTACCATGCCTAGTTTTTTTATGAGTTCTGGGGACTGAACTCAGGTCCTGCAGACAGCAGCAACCCCTCAGCCCTCAGATGGCACCTTCATGTCTGCTTCCCTGTGCTCCCACTGCCTAGAACAGAACTACACACATTTAAGCCTGCCCTCCCTCGTCCTGTGGTAGAGGGCACCACACCCAACTGCTCGCCTCCTTTCCGCCTCTCTGCAGGCTTCGGCTTTGGCACCAGGGTGATGACCTGCATTTAAAAGCTGATTCTCCATTTATTTACCAGGGGAGGGAGCCAGTGTGAGTTATTCTCAGGCCTCACTGTAGTTCTGGGAGCAAGGCTGAACTGTGGCTATGGTTCTGGGCTTTGGAAGAGGAGAGCTTACAGAGAACTACTTGCCCTTGGAGTATTCTTGAGCTCAGCCTCAGCACCCTCCCCCGTGAAATGGAAAAGCCCTACAGTCCCCCACATTCAGGGCTGCAGAAGGGACTCACCTGTAGCGGGACTTTGCCTGCTGTCTCTTTTCTTCTTTTGAACAGCAATCCTTCTGTGAGAGTCCAGCCTTGCTTTTCTGTGGCCTCCCCAAGCCCTTCCTTCTCTCCCTTCTTCCCCCGGAGGAAGTCCTTGACTCATGGCTGACCGGCCTTCCTGCTCCCACTGTGGCCCAGTTTCCAAAGGAACCCTGGGAGACCTCAGGCCGGGAGCATGCTGTTCCCAAGGGGGCTCCCACTCTTGCTCAACTGCTCTGGATCCAGGGAGAGGCTGGATCCAGACAAAGCTCAAACGCCGTCAATCCCGCCTTCCTTAGACCTGAGGGCGGCCCCTGAGACGGAGCTCTTAGGACATCTGTAGGCTCAGGTGCCAGCCAGCTCTCCTGATCTGAGGCGGCTGGAAGCAGGAGGGAGAAACGCTTCCCTCACCATGGCTGCATACACGGGAACAGTAGGACCACCCCTCACATTCCATCCAGGTACAGAGAAAGAGAGCAGAGGGGCTCTAAGAACACATCTTCATTTATTTTTACTTTTATTTGATTTTTATGACCCAGGGTCTCAGGTAGCCCAGGCTGGTCCCAGATTTGCCGTCACCAAGAGATGGCCTTGAACTCCTGATGTGCCCGACTCTACCTCCTGAGTGCTGGGATTACAGGTGTGCACAACCATGCCTGATTATTTTTGTACAGTCCTGGGGAATTGAACCCATGGGTTAGTGCAGGCTAGGCAGCACTCTGCCAAACTGAGCGACAATCCGCAGCTCCACAGCGCATCTTTAGAAGGAAACAGAGACGAAAGAATGGAGCAAGGCAGGTCACTTCAAGAAGCTGGAGGAGGGGCTGGTGAGATGGCTCAGTGGTAAAAACGCCTGACAAGCTGAGACTGATCCCTGGGACCCACATGGTAGGGAGAGCGAACCAACGCTGGCAGGCTCTCCTCTGACCTACCCATGTGTGCTCACCCCACCCCCTCCACAACAAACACAGTTAAGATGAATAAAAATTAAAAAAATATAAAAGAACCCAGACGAAGGGAGACATACAGTAACAAATGTACTTTTAATTGATTTCAGGTAAAATCTACACAGGGAGGAGGGTCAGCAATTAATCCCGGCCCTAACTTATCGGAGCCGTATCATCTACATTAGAAAAACACCAAGGCATTATGTCCTCACGGGTCACCGTGTGGCTGGTCTTCTAGATTCCGTATTTCTTCTTCAGCTCTTCCACTTTTTCCACGTAGGTTTTCATGGCGCTCTCCTTGGAAGTTCCTGGAAGGAATTGGTGGGAATACACATCAGGAAGGCAGTCTGCTAGAAAGGCATCGAGCTGGCGGGGGTGGGGGTGGGGCGTGTGTATGTGTGTGTGTGTGTGTGTGTGTCCCCGGCCTTGGCTTTTAAAAACTTGTGTGTGCGTATCTGTACAGTGGATGTAATATGTATGTATGTGTCTGTTTCCCAGCAAATGCGCACATGTGTGCAATGTAGAGGTCAGAGTTACACGTCAAGTGTCTTCTCCATTGTTCTCTATTTACTTGAAAAAAGACTTTTATTACTTATTTATGAATAAGTATACATAGGTGCCTGCATAGATGCGTGTGCACCAAATGCATGCAGGTGCCTGAAGAAGTGAGGTGAGGGTGTCAGATCTCTTGGAACTGGAGTGATAGGCAGTTGTGAGTCACTTGTGGGTTCTGCAAACCAAATCCGAGTCCTCTGTAAGAGCAGCAGCCATCTCTCCAGCCCTACCTTAGCTACTTCAAAAGAAAAAATATGGATTTATTTTGCAAGGGGGGTGTGGTGGTTTGAATGAGAATGGCCTCCACAGGCTCATATATTCGAATGCTTGGTCCCCAGTTAGTGGAACTGTTTGAGAAGGATTAGGAGGTGTGGTGTTATTGGAGGAGGGGAGGAGGTGTGTCGTTGGGGGTGGGCTTTTAGGCTTCAAAAGCCCATGCCAGGCCCAGTCTCTCTCTCCACTGCTGGTGGATCAGGGTGTAAAGCTCTTGACTACTGCTCCACCATCACGTCTGTCTGCTTCCTGCCAGGATGATCACAAACTAACCCTCTACAATTGTAAGCAAGCAGAGCTGCCTTGGTCATGGTGTCTCTTGACAGTAATAGAACAGTAACTAAGATGGAGGGGTTATATACTACCACAGCATGGGTAGAGGTTAGAGGGCAACTTGTGGGAACTGATTCCCATCACGTGATCCCTGGAGCTCAAACTCAGGTTTTCAGGCTCGGTGGCAAGCACCTTGACCCACTGAGCCATCTTGCCAGACCCTCCACTTTATTTTACGAGACAAGGTTTTTCTCATGGAACCTGGAACTCCTGGATCGGCCAGTGCTCTCTGAGGATCAATCTGCCTGTCTCAGATCCTTCCCAGCGTTAGGGTTACAGATGCATGTTGCTGTGCCTGGCTTTTTTATACAGGCACTGGGGACCTGAACTCAGGTCCTTGAGGTTGCACGGCAGGCAAGCTGCTGACTAGAAATCTTCCCAGCCCCAGACAGCCAAGCTTTTAACATTACGACACGACGTCATGATCCTCACACGTGTTGGGCCACGGGCTGGACACACTGGCTGTGATTCCAGTTTAGTACTGGGGGCTGTTCTTACAGCACAGCTCTTATATCTCAGAGATGGCCCGAGGACTAGACACACGGCACTCCAGGGGATGATTTCTGCTTTACAATGCACCAAGGCAGCAGGTGGCGTGGACCTCAGCCTTCTAGACAGGCAGGAAAGTGTCCCCGCGGTGATTTTCCTGGTGCTGCCGATTTTGTGTTTGGCTTCAGCCTATGGACTATCTGTTCTGGATTCTTATCTCCAGGAGCTATGTTGTTGGCTGTGAAAAAGCCGAGCCAGCCACCCTCTGCCCCACAGAGAGAAGCTGGGAGAAGAGGTGGGGACTGAGGGAAAGCAGCTCGTTCTTGGAAAGGAATGAGGCCAATCTTTGTCTCCTTTTCACGACACAAGAGACATGAATACACCCCGAGGGACAGCCACACTGGGTTTCCTAGATCCCCCCAGGGTACTGAGAAGTCCTCGGGGACTGATGAAGCGTGTTGTAAAGTATTAGGGTATCCGGGGCCTGAGAATGGTGTGGAAGATGGACAGCCAGACCCACATGGCCCCCTAGCAGTGCATTCTAGTGTGCTAGGCCCTTCCTGAGTTCACCCCTTTCCCCCTCGTGAAGACAGAGGCTTATTCAGCAACTGGCTAGCGAGGGTATGAAAGCTGCCAACAGCTTTGTGCCAGCTTTTGGGGCTTTCTGCCAGGGGAGCACGTGATTTAGTGGAGCCTGGACACTTCTTGGATGCTTGTGCTTAACAAATAATAGTTCCATTCACTGGCCATGCATTACCTCATCCCTTTTTTTCATGTGCCCTTCTGGCTGAAAGGGAACTGGGGAATGGCCACTCGGCTAAGGGGTCACTGCCTGGCCTTGTTTCGGAGATAGAGACGTGGGTGGGAGAACTCACTTTATTCTCTTTACATCCAAAGACCACAGCAACAATGTCACTCCCTGGCCTATTTCTCAGTGACTGATCCCCAAGTCCTTTCCCTCCAGATAACACCTCTGCCCAGAGACAGAGCTCTTAGAAGAGACATCGGCAACATTCGGAGGGGACGGAGGTGGCCTAGTTTTCCCATGCCAGGGCTGGCTGGGCTGGCTTCCAATGTGTGCCTCCTAACTACGTCCTCCCCACTCCAGAATGGAGAGTCTTCAATGCCCAGCCTCACAAAGAAGGGAAGCTGATCAGAACACATTACCTTTCAGCTTATTCCATGAATCCCACTTGGCCTTGCCTTTGAGGTCCAAAAGCCCGGGCCGATCTGCAACAAGGAAGGGCAGACAGTAGATTTATTACAAGTTCTAATGGAGAACTTCATCAACTTTTTCCCCATGAAAAGCAAGATACCATTTTTTTTTTTTTTTTTTTTTTTTGGTTTTTCGAGACAGGGTTTCTCTGTGTAGCTTTGCGCCTTTCCTGGTACTCGCTTTGGAGACCAGGCTGGCCTCGAACTCACAGAGATCCGCCTGGCTCTGCCTCCCGAGTGCTGGGATTAAAGGCGTGCGCCACCACCGCCCGGCAAGATACCATTTTTTTTTCTCCCAATATAGAGTTTCCCTGTGTAGCCCTGGCTATCCTGCAACTCACTCTGTAGACCACGCTGGCCTTGAACTCAGAGATCGACCTGCCCCTGTCTCCCAAGTGCTGGGATTAAAGGCGTGTGCCACCACCGCCCGGCACCAAGACATTTTGAACGCACAGACTCCCAGTGTCTTGCACGGGGGTTCTAGCGTAAGAAACCCAGATGGCTTTGGAGCAACCCAAACTTAAAACTGGGGAAAAACAGGATGAAAAAGTGTTCTTAGATTGTTTTTGTACTTTAAGTTAAATGTTTAAAACCCAAAGTTTTACTTTAAAAACAACACTAGTCTTTGGGCCTGGGGATGAGGCCCTGCTGGTAGATGCTTCAGTGCTGTATAAACAGGGAATGGTGGCACACACCTCTAATCCCAACACCCAGGAAGTAGAAGCAGGAGGATCAGGAATTCAAGGTCATCTCAGCTACACAGTGAGTTTTAGGCCAGCCAGGCTACATGAGAACTTGTCTCAAAAAATAAAATATACCATAAAAGAAAACTGATAGGCCTGGTGGTGCACACCTGTGAGACCACTCCAGAGGCTAGGGCAGGAAGATCGGAAGTTCAAGGCCTGCTTGGCCTACGCAGAGAGCTTCAAGCCAGATTGGATGGCTTAGTGAGATTGTTTCAAAATATTAAATAATAAAAGGGCTAGGGGTGTGGCTCAGTTGGCAGAGTGCCTGCCTGGCATGCCCCAAACCCTGGTCTCATCCCCAGCACCAGATAAACCAGGCCTGGTGACCCACAGCTGTAAGGTGGAAGCAGGAAGATCAGAACTTCAAGGTCATTTTTTTATTGCTACATAGTGAATTTGGGCCAGCCTGGGCTACATGAAACTCTGGCTTAAGCAAAACAGAGGCGGAGAAAAAAGAAAAAAAGACCAAAAATTCTCAAACCAAACAACCAAACCTGTTAAACAAACAAACATCCATTCACATGGTTCGGAATCCAAAAACTCTGAAAAAAAATGGGGCTGGAGAGATGACTCAGCGGTTAAAGAGCACTGGCTGCTCTTCCAGAGGACCCAGGTTCAATTCCCAGCACCACAGGGTGGCTCCCAACTGTCCATAACTCCAGATCTGACACCCTCACACAGACCGACACGCAGGTAATACACCAATGCACACGACATTGAAACAACAACAAATCCCAAAGACAATTCTGAAAAGGAAAACTATCAGCTCCCCCACCCCCGCCCCCACCCCCAGGTGGCCTGGTTTCTCTCTCTGTTACATCACTGTCGCCAGTGGATGGCCTTGCCTGCGACCTGTCTTTATAACCCGGCTCTATTTTCCCACCACTTTGCTGGACTCCTTGTTGATTTATAGGGTTTTGTTTTAACTGAAGACCAGGCTTCTTCCAGAGCATCTGCGTTTGGGCGAGAAGCCCTCCCACCACCCTTCTTACTGCAGAGCGTAAGGCTTGGGGCACTGACTCTGAGGGAGAAGTCCTGGGAACTTTACAGGAGACTGTTCCTACACAGGAACCCTCGGAAGCCCAGAGGAAGACTCCCTTGCCAGTCTGTTCTCCCGAGATGGCAATGTATATTCGCAACATTCAGTTAACTGATGTGTATACTGGGATGCATGTGTGCATGCCACTGTGCACGTGTGGATGCCAGAGGACAACTTTGGGGAGTCCGCTCTTTCCTTTCACCAAGTGGGTCCCTTAGGCACTCAGAGATGGCAGCAAGAGCCTTTACCTGCTACCATTTCACTGGTTCTTGCAACGTTTAATTCAGAAGCCACTTGCCCCATGTGGCTACTGAGCCCTTGAAACACGGTTCATGCAGCGACAGACTGAGCTTTTGCCATTGCTTAGGGATAGCCACATGTGGCTGGTCTTTGTTGTACTGAACAGTACAGCCGAAAAACAGACAACAGTTTCCTGATCAGGAAGTGACAGATTCCAAGTCAGTCTACCGATGCTCATATGCCAGCAAGTACCTCTGGCAGCAAGGCCTCCCAGCCTACCCGTTCTCTTCCCACTTCCTTCTTCTTCCTGGATGTTTATAAGCCCTCTGATCTGATCTGACCTGCGTGGCCTGCCACTCCAGCTCCACTTGGTGGCTGAGGGGTACATTTCCTTCTGTGCTGACATGAGTCTTTGCTAGAACGCACTGTGCCTCAGCATACAGCCACTGCCCGAGGCAGCAGAAAAGACAATAAAGACCAAGGTAATCCACAGCACAGCTTCAAAATCTGTACCAAGGGGCTAGAGAGATAGGTCAGCCAATAAAGTGCTTACCTTGCGAGGAGAAGGACCTGAGTTCTAGTCCCAGAACTCATGCGAGGGGGAGGGGAAGGGGGGCGTGGGGAGCACACAAGGCAGCCTGTGCTTATAATGCCAGTGCTGGAGAGGCAGAGACAGGCAGACCCCTGAGGCTTGCTGGCCCACCAACCTAGACTACTTGGCAAGCTCTAAGCCAGGGACAGAGCCTGTCTCAAAAAAATAAAAATGAAAAGCAAAACACCAAAGGTGGATGGTGCCGGTGGAAACAACACTCGAGGCTCTTCTCTGGCCTCCACTTGCACATGCTCCGACCAGACAAAAAAGTCTGCACCGAGATTTTTTAGAGAGGGAAAACGTCATCTGGATGGTGCAGACTTTGGCCAGCATCAATTCCAACTTGCCCCCAGGATACCAGGTGCGTCCCTGCTCATCTATTAGGCTTGGGGTGGCTGCCAAGTGCTCGATGACCCTGCTCATCTGGTGGGAACAGTAGGCTCAACAAAGCTACTACTGAGCAACAGGGCTTAGTGCAAGCTTCCTCTCCGGGGCCTTCGATTCCTTCACAGTAGATGCTGAGATAATTGGTAAAGTCCTTCTAAAACCAGATTGAATCTGCTCCCAGGCTCACACTAAGAATTTAGGAAGATGGTCTCTGCAGGTGAAAAATCTCCCAGCTTAAGTCACCATAGCCTGCCTGAACCTTAGGGCCTCGGGCAGTTGGAAAGTGAGGTTCTCAGACTCCCGAGCTGTGGAGCCAACTTGGCCTACTCTGATGTAGAAAGTTGGCCATACCTGTATTTACGTCGCCCACGGTAGCTTGTTTGAAGTGGCTGTAGATGAAGAGCATCTCTTCGTCACTTGGCTGGGTCTTGAGGCGCTTCACCTCCTCAGCAGCTTTGTCAAATTCCGCCTAAGTGAGAGGGAGAGGAACGGGGATGGGAGAACGCCTGAGTAGGAGAGGTCCAGGGACGGATGGGAAGGCAGGAAAGCAGCACTCCTCCCAAACTCTCTCCTCTCACTAAGATTCAGCAAAGGCCCACCTGTCCACTCACGCAGCTGCAGCACTGTGTCAAGTGTTGGGAATAGACTTGGCTCACAGTGGGAGTACACGCCCTTGAAAATTTTCCTGCCCAACTGCCTGACCACCGCTGGCGCAAATCCAGCAATTGCTGGGGTTCCAGCAAAGCCTCGACCTATGATCAGCGGAGATCGACGAGGCAGTGAGGGGAAACGTGGCGTGATCACAACAGTCGATCAGGGTTCAGGACACGAACGCAGTGGAATCCAGGGTCAGGAGCCCACTGGTCCCTTCCTATGGGGCCTGGAGTTCAGCGTTGACCTCTGTCCCAGTGCCCAGATTAAGGAGAGGCAAGTGGGAGGAGCCTGGGATCGCCCTACAGGGCTCGGTCCCGGACAGGGGTCTCCACTGGAGGGAATGGAAAGGCTTCTGGGCCACCTCGCCTAGTGGCATCTCTCCTGTACAGGGGCATGCCAGGCAGAAAACTAGTTACTTCCCTCGACCTCCAGGCTCCCCAGCCAGGATCCATTAGTGCCCCTCTGTTCCATTCTGGTCCTTCCCAGTATGGGATTCAATCTTCTCTGCCCTTCGTTCCCTTATTGCCCCATCTTTCTTTCGAGGACCCTGTGCCTGCTTCATCCAGGCGTCCAGCCCACCTGCCACTCTCCAGCAGTTCCGGCGTGGGTGGCAGTTTCAGAAATCTGCAAGGGAAAAAGTTCCGCTCCCCAGGCTATGAGCTGGGCTCGGATCCCAGAGCAGATGCCTAGTATCCGGGGAGGGGACACCCCGCGGGGTTCCTGCTGACTGATTTCCCCCAAACCCACTGCACCTTCGCAGCCCGGCAGGGCACGCGCAGTACCTGAGACATGCTGGCGAGGTGATCTGGATCCCGAAAGCGCGGGAGCAAGCGCAGGCAAGCAGCACTCAAGTTCCAGAGTGCACAGGGTAGCGCCTTTAAAAGACTGCCCCTGCGTTCCAACCGAGCTCGGGCGAGCGCCTGCAGCCAATCAGAAGTCCAATTGCTTTCGGGGGCGTGTCCAGCCCAGGCCGGAGCTCCAGCCCCTCCCGGACCCAAGAGGGCATTTATTGCGCACGCGCGGGGAGGAGCCGCGGGGCACGCCGGGAGCAGGTGGGACGCACTACGGGATTTTTTTTTTGGAGGGGTGTTGGCACTCGGGGTGAGGGCGGTTGGACTGGAGCTGGGCAGGAACTGAGGTCGGGTGGAATGGGGTGCTGCTGCAGGAGAATAGAAATCAGTATGATTCTTTCCCTTTAAATATCATGCCGGTTGGGATGAGGCCGGAAGTTGCATCCCTGGTCTAGTAACTTCTCAGCCTGGAAAATGGGATGTCGCGATCCCTTTTAGGGGCTCGAGGGAAGGACCTTTGGTGCCCTGCGCGTCCCAAACCTTTTCCTCTGAACTGTTGGCACATTCTTTGACCTGTGCGCATTGTCCATAGTTTTCAGTCCTGCATCCTTAACGCGGTCCAGTGTTCCACCAGTGGCTTATAAAGGTGGATCCAGGCAATGTGATATCTTTTGCACGGGAAGAGGTGCCCAACAAGCCTTGGTTAAGTGAATAACTTTTCTTCTCAAACGGTTTTTAAACACTTGGCCTGATGAGTGCAGACTTCTAGACCTTGAGCACGCAGCAGTGGACAGATGAATCCTCTGCACCCTTAGAGTGTCTTAGAGTGGGTTAATGGTTGGCATAGTCAATTACAGACCTTTTAAAAAGAATTGGAAACGGGGCGGTGGTGGCGCACGCCTTTAATCCCAGCACTTGGGAGGCAGAGCTAGGCGGATCTCTGTGAGTTCGAGGCCAGCCTGGTCTAGAGAGCGAGATCCAGGACAGGTACCAAAAACTACACGGATAAACCCTGTCTTGAAAGAGAGAAAAAAAAAAGAAGAATTGGAAGTTTTAACTGGTGTGTGTGTGTGTGTGGGGGTGATGTGGTGGAGAGAAGATGCTGTTTGAGCAAGCCCTGCAAGTGAGAGAAGGAGCATTCTAGCAGAGAGCAGGAGTGAGCAGTGGGTTCCTGTGGAAATTGAGGTTCCCTTTGAGTTTAGCCTCATTAACAAAATAAAACTGACTCAGAAGGAAGCTTGAGGACAGTTTCATTGAAGTTTGAGATTAAAAACAAAAACAGCAGACAAGCTGAAAACTCTGACAGCCACTAGGAGAAAAGGAGATGGAGGAAAAGTCATGCCTTTTAAGCTAGGCTTGGAGGAAACAGTGAGAAAGCCCAGAACTTCAGGAAGAACATGCATAGGAATGCCCAGCGGGACACTGAGTTCAGAGGGCATTCGGTTCCAAGCATATGTGTCTCAGGACAGAGGATTGTACCAGAGGCACCCGGTTAGACGTAGAAATAGAGCTAGCTTATTAAGAAAAGGAAAATACGGGGATGAGGCTGGAGAACTCAGACAGAGGTAGGCTGGCTAGATGAGGTTGGTCATTCTGGGGATGCAGGCGATCATTCTGATGGAGATGGAAGCGATTGGGATTTCCAGCAGAGAAGATGCACTACACAAGTGTCTTATGGGAGGTTGTCATGGGAAGCTAAGCTCCATGGGAGTGTGAGGAGAGGAGGCAAAGGGGGCCAAAGGGGGGATTTTCTGGCACTGGATGCCAAGGTGGAAGAGAAAATTCCCTAGAGGTCATTACAAAGGGAAATTGTCCTTCACTTGCTAATGTGTGGCAAGAGGCCTGGACCACAGCTCGCCACCCTTTTTACCCTCCGCCTCATCATAACTGTAGTCCTTTACAAAGGGAGGGCTGGGCTCTTGCTTAGTGTGGGATAGTGTCTGCCTAGTGTATTTGAGGTCGTGAGTTGGAATCCCAGCCCTGCAAAATAGAAAACTTAAGCCCAAGCTTTCAGATGTCACCTACAGCATCAGCCAGGTTTTGTGGAATAAGAAATTTAATTGCAGGGAACACATACAGGTTTTGTGAACCACTTTGCTCAGAAAGCAAAAGTAACAAAAATTTTGGCGTTAAATTTGAAGAAATTGCCTGTGAAGTATAAAGAATGTGGATTTCTTCCATAGTGGCAATTTAGGGGACTCCACCCCCTCAAGACTCAGATGAATAGTTATGGTAGACTTGTATTCCTTGCTGTAGTTTTCCTGGTCTCTTTTGAAAGATCAGTTGGCACCACAGAGCTTTGAAAGGACTCAGACGCGAGATCGGTGGAGGTGCCGTTATCTTGCTAGTCTGCATGTAGTTCAAGATTGATTTGTTGGTTGCTTGTGAGGGATATGATTCACTTTCTTAATTCCATGTGGTGGTTCCAGATGAGGGTACAAAAACTATTTCAAGTGGGTGACAGCGTGCTAAAGGGTTGTGGGTGCTAAGTCATCTTGAGCCGGAGGAGAAGGAAGAGCACTTCTCCTTGTGGTGGAGTGTCCCCTAGGCCCTGTTTCAGAGTCACCAAGAGCCTCCTTCTCAGCATACTGTGTGACCCTTGTCTTGCTGCTCAGTGACTCTGTGTTGGTGCGTCATCTCCGGAAGTGTCACCTAGAGGCCTGCCTGCCCTCAGTGCTTCTACCCCAGGGAGCTGGGGTGGCATTTGGAGGCCATAGAAAAAAATCTTGGGCTGGAATTCTTCAGGTGCCTTCCATTTGGTTTTTGAGACAGTGTCTCTTTTTGTTCTGGAACTCACCAAGTAGGCTAGACTGGCTGGACCGGTGAGCCCCAGGGGTCCTCCTGTTCTGTCTCCCCAGCACAGGGATTATAAGCATATGCCACCATGCCTGTGTGTTTTGCATGGTTTATGGAAATTGAACTCAAGGTTCCCATGCTTGTGTGGCAAACACTTTCCTGACTTAGGCTTCTCAGTCCTTGGAATTTCATTGTTAAAAATAAGCTTCCCAGGCAGGAGAGCACATACCATGCAATCCTGACAACCTGACTCCAACCCTCAGAACCTGTATAAAGGTGGTGAGAGAACCATGTCCACCGAACTGTCCTCTGACTGCCACATACCTGCTGTGACATGCCCAGATCTGCACTCGTACACACGGTTCTTGCACACACGTGCAATAATAAATATATTAAAAATAAACTGCTCAGTCTATTTGGGATAAGTCATATGAATTTTTTTTTTTAGTTATATACTTCTACAAAACTAGAAAAGGTCATTGCTTTTCATAATGCTGAGAAGTGATGGAGTCCTCAGCTCTGTTTATGTCGTCATGAGCGACTCTCACGTCATGATTTTATTTATCTGCTGTCTGCTGCCTCCCGTACATGAGCTAAGGAGAGTAGAGTCACCATGCACTGGCTACTGCCTCATCTTTTGATGCTTGCTCTTCTTAGGGACTCGACAAACACTTACTGACCGAGGAAATGCCTTTTTTCTATAGGCTGTGCTCCTGGCTAGACTTAAAGGCACACACTGTGATCCCAGGACCAGGCAGGCTAACGCAGGAGCATCCGTGAGAGTTGATGACTGCCTGGGCCTCACACTAAAACCTTCTCTCAGAAAGCAAACAAAAAGGACTTGGGGATGGTTTAGTTGGTTAAGTGTCTGCTTTGCAAACACAGAGACCTGAATTAAGACTTCCAGCCCCCACATAACTGTTAAAACTGATTTTCCACACTGGAAGGGGATACAGGCAGATCCCAGGAGCTTGCTAGGTGGCCATTCTTGCCAGTTGGGGAGCTCTGGGTTCAGTGAGAGACCCTGTCTCAAAAAATAAGGTAGAGAACGATTGTAGAAGATACGCAATGTCAGCCTCTGGCCTAAACACACACACACACACACACACACACACGCACACACGCACGCACGCACGCACACACACACACATCCAAAGGCATACATCACATACATATACCAACAAAAAAAGAGCAAAAAAAAAAAAAAAAAATCAAGAAGTTCCTTTTAATTAGCTGCCAGCTTGGAAAACAACTGAATTCATTAGAGCTGATTATGAGACCATGGGCTGGAACAAAGCAGATGAACTCTGGCCCAAGGCCTGTGCTATCTTTTGGTAGCACTCCCAGCCTTGGAAGCAGAGGGCTTAGGGAGGATGGGGAACCTGACCCAGCCAACTTGTCAGCTAGTCAGTAGCAGTTATCAGCACTGCAGCTTGTCCTTGTGGATAGGAATCTATGAGGTATCGTTCTGACCGTCCATAGGCATCCCTTGCTCTCAGCTTAGTTAGACTGACCAGGTTTACCAGGCATGACATTCCTGCTGTGAAGCAGGCTGCATCGCAAACATCGGAAAGCAGTTGGCTACCCCTGTAACTGTCCTGCCACTGTTTGACCAGCAGGCGTATTTTGCCAGGCAGGGTTGTAGCATGCAGGATCCAACACTGGATAAGACCACTGAGGTCTCTTCCCAAGAAGCAGCTTGCCTTCCACTTTCTGGCACTATAAGCTAGCCAGCAGGGAGAGTTTCCAGGTCACTTTGAGGTTGATTCCTCTGTGTCTGTATACACAGGTTTCCCTTACTGTTAGTTTAAGCCAGATGGGCAAGACACACGAACAGGTGAAAATTGGTCCCACCCAGTGAGTGTGAAGAGTGGTTTAAGATTAAGTTTCTTGCTATAAAGGAAACCTCTAATTTCTAAAAGTAACCTAATCGTTAAGAATAGAGTTAAGGGCAAACTGCCCTGGCAAGAGAGCTTTCGTGGAAGGCAAGGGCGTTCCCACACGGCCAGTTAACACTCCGCGTGGTTCCCATTTTCTTGGGATGTGACTCCTCTGGCCAGACTCCAGTAGAGCTGGGAGGAGAATAGTGTCTTTTTAAAGGGGTTGGGAAGGGTTTCCAAGATAGGAGTCGGGAGAGAAGGGTGGTAGCCTGGGCTCTGTGGAGGCTGAGAGCCCAGAGAGTGGGGTGGGAAGGCGAGCATGACTTTCCCACAACTGCAGTGAGAGACTTGCCAGCCGAGCTCGGACATCTTTGCCGTACCTCAGATGCTTATGTTGAGAGGAACTGCATCAAGGCGGGTGTGAGAGGAGTGTGTGTGTGACACACGCTTGGTATTCTCTCCATCCTCACCTCTTCTGTACCCAGACAGCATGTGTGCTGGTGTCCAGTGGTGACAGCACTGAACACCAAGAGGGCTTGGCGGTGTCCTCCATTCCCTAAGAGAAAAGGGAAGGATCAGGTGTTC